ATCTATCGCAAATGGCGCACTGACGGTGCCGATGAATTTGGCGGCGATGTTGTTGTTTTGTTGTCGTGCGGCTCTTAGGAGTCGCTGCACAAATGTCACATCGCATTTGGTGGTTGTGTTGCACAGTGTTTGATGTCAAATTTCATACTGTTGGAGTAGCTCAATCGTGTTGTTTCGCTGTCGTTGCGCGAATGTCACACCTTTCATTGCTGGAGATTGTGTATCATGAGCAAATACGCACTGATATAGCTCTTCTACTGTTTGTCTGATGAACTTGTGTCTTCGCATGAGACTGATGAAATACTTTTCTGCAATTTTTTTTTTTTTTTTTTGCGCGACAGGTTCCACCGCGACAATGTCAGAGGCCGGACAGTATGTTCGAGCTCATCCGAGTGATGACAGTGAGTACTCATCAGGCGAATACGATGAGGAACGTTCAGCATGTCCGTTGGATTCAACAAAGCCAAGCGAAGACATCCATGTGACAGCGGAGCTCAGCCATCCAGAACAACCTGACAAAGAAAATGCTCAGGATTCGAGCAATACGGAGAGAGTTAGTACGACAATGAACGACAGGGTCCTCCGTCTCGAAAATGCCATAGTACGGCTATCGGAAGTAGTAATAGAGAAGCATTTCCCAGAGGTTGCGAAAGCTAACAACAGCTCATGGACCGCCGATGAGCCCATAAAGGAGAAGAGCGAACCCGCACACATCCGATGGGACCATGTGCCGACATTCCCAAAGAACGTGGCCTTTTTAACGTATGACGATGTTAGACATGTGACTTCAGCTGACGAGACCCTGTGCAAGGTAATGCAAGCGTTGGATTCCGGTGAGTGGCCGATCCAGTTGAAGCGTTTCCAGCATGTGGCAGAAGATTTATACGTTAAAAACGGCCTTGTGATTAAGAATGGATGCGTCGTGATCCCAGACAAATTACGTACAAAAACCTTGGAGGTTGCTCACAGAGGTCACCCCCATACTGCGAAGCTGAAGAGCATTCTAAGAGAACGTGTCTGGTGGCCCGGCATGCCTAAAGACGCCGAAAGTTTTGTGAAAGCTTGCCGAGTTTGTGCAATTAATGGGAACCCGGAAAAACCAACCCCGATGGAACGCATTTTTGCACCCAAGGCGGTCTGGGAAACCATAGCTATAGATTTTAATGGACCCTACGCCAGATTTGGAGGAATCTATATTTTGGTGCTAGTGGATTACAGGTCTAGATATTTGATCGCTCGGCCTACCAAGTCCACCAGTTTTGAACACACCAAAGCTGTATTAGAGGAGGTATTCGAACGACAGGGCTTCCCCAACAACATAAAAAGTGATAATGGTCCCCCATTCAATGGGGACGATTATAAAAACTATTGCGCGGAAAGAGGTATAACAACCATTTTTTTCTACACCGTTGTATCCACACAAAACGGACTTGTAGAAAGATACATGAGAATCATCAACAAAGCCATGGCAGCATCCGTGACCTGTAAAACGAATTACAACGATGAATTACAAGCCGCCGTTCAATCCCACAACGCTGCTGCTCACTCGGTGACCAAAGTCCCCCCGGAGGAAATCATGCTTGGAAGAAAGATAAAAAGGGGCCTACCTTTGATGAATCGAGGAAGGGTGAACCACGATGAGGATTTGCTGAATAAAAGGGACCGAGAAGCAAAGCTGCAAGCAAAGCAGCGTGAGGACCTACGAAGGTCTGCACGGGTATGTCGAGTTAAACCGGGTGACATCGTTATAGTCGAGAAACAATCACGATCGAAGGGAGAAGCCAGATTTGGAGAGAAAAGGTACACCGTTTTGCAAGAGAATAATGGTAACTTGCTATTAGCTGATGAAGAAGGGGGCACTTTAAAACGGCACGTGTCCCAGACGAGCAAGGTATGCGAATGGTCGGAGATCCCCCAAAATTCATCTACGGACTATGAAGACGACTCCATTCCAAGTTCTCGATATTTTCCTTTTACACTTCAACTTTTTCGGATCATCTTTAAATGAGTTTCAACCGACAGCATCAGCGGATAAAATGTCTATTTTAGTATTCCATTGCCCAGCTCGGCAATATATTAACAGTGCATTGTTCTCAACAATCTTAAAAAACGTTATTAAAAGCCCCTATTTCTTGATTTAATTATTAGTAACTAGATTTGTTTAACAACATATTCCGAAGGCATCATGTATTTTTCAATTTGGTACGGTTATTATTTTATGGAGAAGAGGGAAGATGTGGGACATGCATATTCTCTGACATTTAGTGACTCCAACACGGTAAGCATATTCCCTGGGATTTAGTGACTCCAAGCATATGTTACGCAACAGCGTTACGCAATCACTATACTCGTAGTGTTGGCAACACGGCATTCGTTCGCCGCCTATCGAGTCCGAGCCGACTGCAATGCAGCAGCAGCTCACTCTTCCTCTTTCGTATCCAGGACGTCAACGGAATAAGTCGTGTTCATCGGTCGGGGGCGATTCTTCCCAACGGAAAGTTGAATCCACAGGTCCCGGCGCAGCTTCGCCTGGACTGGGCTTTGTTCAAGCGGCATTTTCCAGCAGTAGACCTGATACCAAGTCGGCAAAGTCGAACAAGAGTGATAAGGCGCGGGAAAGGAATTACCTAAACGCTCATTCGGCGGAAGATTCAACGAAGAAACATCAATCGTCGAAGCCGGTCTTGTGTTTAGCGTGTGAGGAACCACAGAACAAGGTAAAGGATTGTACGATCTACATGAAGATGGATGTGGAACGTCGCTGGAAGCTCGTACTGGATAATCACCTCTGCCGCACGTGCCTTGGTAAGCATGGTCGTAGACCGTGTAAAACGCAAACAATCTGTGGAACGGAGGGATGCCAGATGCGTCATCATCCGCTGCTTCATGCAATTCTTCATAAGCAGAACAAGATCACTAAAGAAGAACCGATATCAACAGGCACTGCAGGTGAAACCAGTGAGCGGGTGAATGCACATCACAACCCAAAGCAATCCGTTCTGTTCAAATGTATTCCCGTGCGGTTGTTCTGGAAGGGAAAGTCGGTGGAAACGTTCGCGTTTTTGGACGATGGTTCGAACATGACTCTGGTAGAGGACTGGGTAGCAAAACGTTTGGGAATCGATGATGGTGAAGATCTACCGCTGTGTATGAGCTGGACAAGCAACGTCACTCGCTACGAACCAAAATCTCAACGAATTTCGGTCGAGACAAGTGGTGTCTCACAGCCTGGGAAGTTCGTGCTAAATGACACCCGCACGGTGAAGAATCTCAGTCTACCTCGGCAGTCGCTAAACTACGAGGAGTTGGTTCAACAACACCCACACTTGAAGGGATTGGCTCTTAGTAGCTACGAATCAGTTTCCCCTGGAATACTAATCGGTTCCAACAATGCCAGTTTGATAGCGGCTCTGAAAGTAAAAGAGGGTCAACTGGGCGACCCTATCGCCAGCAAAACTCGGCTGGGTTGGACGCTGTCAGGGATGGCAGAGGAAGGCGACAGCTCGGTCAAGGTGAGCCTTCACATATGTGCGCGTTCACAAGAAGACGAGCTACACGATTTGGTGAAAGAATTCTTCTCTGTGGATAGCGTAGGAGTTGCGGCTGACAAAGGTCTAGAGTCCAATGACGACAAGTGTGCTCGTTCTATTTTGGAGCGGACAACCAGGCGAGTCGATAACCAGTACGAAACAGGCCTTCTATGGCGTTACGATCACTTCAAATTTCCCGATAGCTTCGGTATGGCGAAGCGGCGCTTGGAATGCTTCGTGAAAGCGTTCATCGACAGATCGACGAACATTTGCAGAGTGGCTATATGCACCTGACGACCCCGAAAGAGTTGAATTCAGCGAATCCCGATACAGTTTGGTATCTACCATTAGGAGCAGTTCGAAACCCGAAAAAACCAGGGAAAATTCGTCTCATCTGGGACGCTGCGGCAAAGGCAGGAGGTGTCTCCTTCAACAATATGCTTCTAAAAGGTCCCGATCTCCTAACACCGTTGTTGACAGTCCTATTCGGATTCCGTGAGCGAAAGGTTGCGGTTTGTGGCGATCTGAAGCAAATGTTTCACCGATTTCGCATCTTGCTTGGTGATATCCACTCACAGAGGTTCCTGTTCCGGAAGGATCCCTCGCATCCAATCCAAGTGTACATAATGGATGTAGGGACTTTTGGATCTACCTGTTCACCGAGCCAGGCCCAGTTCATTAAAAACTTGAATGCCGAGGAACACAAGGAAACCTTCCCCAGAGCGGCCGCAGTAATAGTATCCAAACACTACGTTGATGACTGTTTGGACAGTTTCGACAGTGAGAACGAAGCCATCGAAGTGGTTTTAGAGGTAAAGCAGGTGCACGCTAACGGAGGATTCACCATAAGGAACTGGCTTTCTAATTCTGCGGAAGTTCTTCTACGAGTCGGGGATCCGGGATCTCAAGATACAAAGTCTATCGAAACCAGAAAGGAGAGATCAATTGAGCGAGTTCTGGGAATTTCCTGGGTCCCAATCGATGACATGTTCACATACGTGGTGGATCTTAACGTAAACGAAGTGACGCCGACAAAACGCAACTTGCTCCGGTGCGTCATGAGCGTTTTTGACCCACTGGGACTGCTGTCACATTTTCTAGTCTACGGACGGATACAAGATTTTTTATTATACAAGATATTTGGAGATCACAGGCAGGCTGGGATGAAGAAGTTTCGGGAGAAATCCAGGAAAAATGGCATCGATGGATTGCTGAGTTTGGAGAGCTAGCAAAGATACGTATCAGCCGCTCGTATTTTCCTGGTTTCGCATCGATCGAGGTTGGTGCGCTACAGCTTCATATATATTCACGGATGCGAGTGAGGATGCATACGCCTGCGTAGCATATCTACGGGCAGAGATTAAGGGAAGAGTTCACTGCGCCCTCGTGATGGCAAAAGCGAAGGTGGCGCCGCTCAAGGCTTTGTCCATTCCACGCCTCGAACTTCAAGGTGCTCTCTTGGGTGCCAGGATGGCGAGGACCATTACCGAAGCTCATTCACTACCAATTGATCGCCGGGTACTGTGGACCGATTCGGAAACTGTGCTCGCTTGGATAAGATCCGACCATAGACCTTATCGGCAGTTCGTCGCTTGCCGAGTGGGGGAGATTTTGGACAAAACGGACGGTGAAGACTGGCGCTGGATCCCCTCGAAACAAAACGTGGCCGATGAAACGACTAAGTGGGGAAAGGGTCCCTGCCTCAGCTCCGAAGCCAGATGGGTCCAAGGTCCCGAGTTTCTACGTCATCCGGAAGCAGAGTGGCCGAAGAAGAATGCAGCAGAACCGTCGAAAACCACTGAAGAGTTACGTGCTTGCTTTGTTCATCGAGAGGTTGTGATGCAACAGTTGGTGGATTTCAGTCGCTTCTCCAAGTGGGAACGTCTATTAAGAACCGTGGCAGACGTCATTCGAGTCCTGGACAATGCCCGTCGTCGTAGATTGGGGCAACCCAAGAAAACTGGAAGCTTGTGGCAAGACGAAATCCAGCGGTCAGAAGCAGCTCTTTGGCGTCTAGTACAAGCCGAAGCCTACCCGGATGAAGTCGGCGTACTTCTCAACAAGAACTCGGCTACCAAAAATATTGATAAATCAAGCATGATCTACAAGCTGTCACCGTTCACCGACGAGAGAAAGGTCCTGTGCGTTGACAGCCGAATGGGAGCGGCATCGGGTGTGTCGTATAATTTCAAGTTTCCCATCATTCTCCCACGTTACCACCGGATTAGCGAACTCCTAGTTGACTGGTATCACCGGAAGTTTCTGCACGCTAACAACGAGACAATCGTTAACGAGATCCGGCAGCGTTTCCAGATACCGAACCTCCGCACGGTGGTACGCCAGGTCTCTAGGAATTGCCAGACCTGTAAGGTCCGGAAGGCGTCGCCCGTAACACCGAAGATGGGTCCTTTGCCTGCAGCGCGCTTGAACCAATTTTGGCGACCGTTTACCTACGTAGGCATCGATTACTTTGGACCAATATCGGTCAAGAGCGGTCGCAGCAATGTGAAAAGATGGGTGGTCTTGTTCACTTGCCTTTCCGTCAGAGCCATCCACCTAGAGATCGTACATTCTCTCACAACCGAATCCTGCAAAATGGCCATCCGTCACTTCGTAGCCTATCGAGGTGCGCCCAGTGAGATCTATACAGACAATGGGACGAACTTCCAGGGTGCTAGTCGCGAGCTGCTGCAGGAAATCCAAGCCATTAACAACGGTCTAACTGACACTTTCAGCGACGCCAATACGAAGTGGGTCTTCAACCCGCCCTCCGCTCCACACTTTGGGGGAGTGTGGGAGCGACTTGTACGTTCCGTTAAGGTTGCTCTTGCGTCGCTGTCAAGCTTGGGGAACCCGGACGACGAAACCCTACGCACGATTATTGCTGAAGTCAGTGCCATTATCAACTCACGGCCACTGACGTTTATTCCTCTAGAATCAGCGGAACAAGAGGCTCTGAAGCCGAACCACTTTACTCACCTGAGTTCTGATGGGGTTGTCCGACCAAAAAAGTAGACGACCCTATTTTTAATCTTTTGCAATCAAAATAATCTACAGATCACAGGAATTCTAAAACTACCTAAATGTTTTAAACTCATCAAGAAATGGCTAGGGTTTGCCATTGCAAACTTGCCGTTACACGTTTTTCGGAGGCATCGCATTTGGAGTGTTAATCTCAATGACAGTAGTTTCAAATAGTTGCCCTAGTCGAAACAGCGGTGGCAGTGCGGTGTATTGAACCGACAGAATGTTACAATAATAGATTATGATTTGCTGTAGATTGTGAAACACAGTAAAGATCTTCAATTTCTCCCCTTTTTAGTGTATTATTATTATTATTATTTATCTTTATTAGGGAGGCTTTCAGCCTTGGGCTGGTTCGCCTCCAAGTCCTTTTTAGTGTAATTGTTCTCAATTTGTACCAAATAACCATGTTTTAGATGTAGTTATAAATGTGTTGCCAAAAATGGGAAGAAATTGATGCCAAAACCGGGCGTTGCCAAAATCAGACGTAGACAAAAATGGGTGTTGTTAAAAACGGAAAGGCACTGTACATGTATTAATTTCATGGTAACAAATAAATTCACCTTAACTTTGGTTGCCATATATGCATTGATTTCCATTCTAAAGAAATTAAAATTATACAAATTTTCTTCCAACGTTGGGTAAATTTTACCTATTCGATTCGATCGATCGTTAGGTAATCACTCAATGGATTATTGATCAGGATTACTCAAAATTGAGTTTTCTTCTTTTACTCAACTTCAACGATCCCCACGGAAGTTACGTGTTGAGTGAAAGAAACTCAATTTTGGGTACTTTTTTCTTACCGTGTAGGATCAAAGGTTTACCAAAGATTCACAAACCAGGAACCGAAATGAGGGAGATCATCTCGGCTGAAAAATCCCCAACTCATGCCAAATGGCTAGTAAAAGAATTTACTATTGTCCAATTTATCACAAATTATTTTTTCAATACCATTTACATTTCGACTAATGTCTGCCATCCCGCTCTTAAGGGCTGGTCGCGAGAGATTCAGTTCAGTTCTATGAACTTTTGGAAACTTTCGTGAACTTAGACGAAGATCAAGACCTTCACGAAACTTCAGACAACTTTCTGGTAAGTTCAAAGATCTTAAGGATAATTCAGAGAACTTTCAAAAGTTACAGGTAAATTCTGAGCACTTCAAGTGCGTTCGATTAACTTCACAATAATTGCAGGAACTTTACAGATGTTCCAAGAAAAATGTCCAGAAAACTTCAAAGAAGTTAAGAGTCCCATAATCATCAGAAAAATTGCGGGACCTTAAATGAAATTCCCAGAAGTATTGCAATATTTTGAAAACTTTAGGTTAATTTCATTAACATCAGAAATATTTCGAGAATCTTCAGAAAGATCCAAGATGTTAAAGGAAATTCCGAAAACATTAAGATCGTCCAGAACACTGTTGTTATTCCAATTGATATAAAAATACACTATTTATATATCATTTGCATGATTGTTTGGAATACATTGGTTAAAATATCATTGTAAAAAGCTATGTTGAAAAAAGTGTTCTTTGATTTTCAGTAAAACTGAAAAAAATGCTCAAAAGTTAATACCTAGGGGCAAGACAGCTTTTAATAATGAGTAATATTGGAGTTAATTTTGAGTAACTCTGAGTAACTCGAGTTGCGCACTATTGAATGCACGGTAACACAGCAACCTGTTTTTGTGAGTGTTTATTTCGCAAATGTCACGGTCAGATGTTTGACGAAGCCAACATGTCAGAAGTCTCAAACCCACCATCATCTTTTGACGTATCATACTGGATCACTGGCCCTTATTACCAATGTCACTTCACAGTGAAGTGACAACTTATCACTCACGGTGAAGTGATTCCCATTTGATTTACACGGCAATCACTTCACCGTGAGTGACAAGTGATCACTTAACTTCGTTTTCACCGTTAAGTGACACTCATAATAAGGGCCACTATCCTCAAATCCCATAATCCTCGTACCTTTTATCGAAGGCATCAATGAGCAAATACACAAACCTTTCTTCTGAGGTTGTTATCTTTGCTATCAAATTCGTTCGAAGCATTTACCTTTGCACGGCAGATGACACGACTGTGCCGGTCTCATAGCGGTCGAATGAGAAAATGGAAGAGTTGCCAGTCTTCTTGATTTGTTGTCTTCGCTTTTATGGTAATCCTTACTAAAGCCTGGTACGCAGCTAAAAAGTAATGACGTTTTTACGTGCTACGGGATAGGACACGGAATGCTAAAGAAATTTCTTTTAATTAGCATTTCTTGACCCACATTACATTAGTATCGTGATCGACATGAAGGTGGCGCATTCTGAATGCAATTTCATTTTGCTTGCGGAATAATGGTCTGACCAATTATTCCGTTAGGTAATTTTAACGTTTGTTGTATAAATGATGTTTTGGATGCATTTTAACAACATAAAAATTGATAATTGTTGATTTTAAAATTAGGCGACACCTACCTATGATCTCAAAATTTAGCAAAAGACACCTCCCTATAGCTGTCAAATTTACTTTTGGGAATATTCCTCAGAAATTACTTTTCCGTTTTCTTTTTAGCTGCGTACCAGGCTTAAGCAGTTTTCACCTGAATTGAATGCAGACAATCATCATTCAATGTTCACCATCAACATGGAGATTGCATTCGTAACAGAAATCCAAGTGTCTTAGCGTCTCTGAGAAGAGTTAATTAAATTGCCATAATGTATTTAATAGAGTAATATAAAAACATAATGTATTTAATAGAGTAATATAAAAATATCTTTGTTTTATTCTAGGTAATGCTCCTTGTTATAATTTTTTTTTACATAGGTTGAGCCTTTCGACTGGAAATCGATTTAAAATGATTTTAGGCAGTCCGTTATTCTCTAGTATAACATCAAGTGGCGATGGGGCTTATTACGGATGTCACTTCACGGTGAAAACTTGTCACTTGTCGTCACGGTGAAGTGATTCCCATTTGTTTTGTACGGCAATCACGGCTCTTATTCTGAGTATCACTTCCTTATCACCGTGTAGTGACACCCGTAATACGGCCTATCATCTAGTAAGTTTGTCATGGAATCGATGGAAAAGAAGCTTTTCATCGTCTAGTCATATTTGCTTTTTCAAAACTATTTGCTCGGTCAAATCAAATAAAGCTCGTAACCTTCTTGAATTTCGATCTTCATAAATTCGTTTTATGTTATTTGAATAACTGTAGTTAACAGTTACAATTGTAGACCCCAAATTTGCTTAAAACGTAAAGCGACCCGTCATTATGCACTGGAAGTTCCGACAACAATTTCACTGTTGATGGCATCTTCTGTGGAGCTATATATCTGTATAGCTAGTTTTCTATTTGATTCATTCTTTGCTCGACTGTTGAGCTGTTCAGTCCGTATTTTTTGCTCGAGATCTCGTTTCGTTTTGTCCACGTCGCGTTGCGCCGTGGAAGTGTCGCCACCTTCTCGCGTTCTGGCAAGTTTACTTGAACTTGCAAACACGAAACAAATGGTGCGTAAACGTGCCAATGAGTCAGCAGCGGGCCCTTCAAAGAAGGTGCTAATCAAGCCCAGCGCGTCGCAGGATGACGCCGGAAAACGAGTACTGCAAGCCAACCAGTATGCAGTACTCCCGGAAGAAAATGGCGATGCTGACGCCGCTCCCATTGCAAGAAAAGAGCGAATTCCCCCGCTTTTCACGCCGGTGAAGGATGTTGCCAGCTAGGTGCCGAACTGGCAAAACACAAGCTGCTGCCTCGCTTTAAGCTTTGCAGCATCGGTACCAAAATCATGTGCTCCAGCCTGGAGTAGTACAAACAAATAGGATGTTTCCTGAAAGAAAACAACGTGGACTTCTTCGCGCATGATCTACCATCGAGCAAGCCACTGAAGGCGGTTTTGCGTGGATTACCGTCGTTCGAGGTGGCTGCGGTGAAGTCCGAGCTGGAGCGGCTTGGGCTCCAACCTGAGGGCGTGTTCCAGATGAACCACCGTTCCATCAACAATACCAGCTTCCGTGACCAGTTGTTCCACTTCACGAAGGGATCCACCAGTCTTGCGGCTCTGAGATCCAGGTCATCATCAGTTGGGAGCATTACAAACCCCAACACCGTGATGTAACGCAGTGTACGAACTGCCTCTCCTATGGCCATGGCACCAAAAACTGCCATATGAAGACAAACTGCGGCCAGTGTGCTGGAACTCACTCAACTGCGTCCTGTGAGCAAGTTGATGACATAAAGCCAACGTGTGTCAACTGCGGTGGAAACCATCAAGCCTCCAAGCGAGTGGAGTTCATTAATATACGTCGTAAGGCTACAATCAACAACCAGGTCGGTCACCTCCGTAATCATCGTTCACCTCCTGTACTCACGGAAGTCCAGTACCCAGCTCTCCAGCCCCGTCGACATGTTCCGAACCTAGCCCCGCTTCCGCTCAACAACCAACAAGCCAATCCTTCGAGTATCCAAATGGTTCCCAATAGTCGGACAGTTCAGCATCGTCTCGCTGTTGCTGCGGCCCAGCCAATTCCAGGTTCATCCACCGCCCCTGGTTTATCATACGCTGGTGCTGTCTCAGGTGAACCTGTTGACGATTCTCCGTTCAGGAACTTGTGGCGCTCGTGGCCGAGGTCATCATCATCATGCGAACCTGCAAGACTCGATCTGAAAAGCTACATGCTGCCCTGTCTCTTGTCACTAAGTATGGACCGTGAAACCATCAAGATCGTAAATTGGAATGCTTGCTCAACGAACGGCACATCGACATAGCCGTCATCACCGAGACTCATTTGAAGCCCGAGCTGAACGTCTTCCTTCGAGACTTTCGGCTCGTAAGGCTTGACCGCACCAGCTCCGGGGGAGGGGGAGTGGCCATCGCTGCCGGCTGCTACCAAGCTTCCAGCTGAAAAATTATCGAAGCCATCAGAATTGAGGTGAGCACATCACTTGGTCCAATCACCATCATCGCGGTCTACTGCCCCAAACAAACTAACATTAAAG